TCATCACGTAGGTGGCGTCGCGGTATGTCCACGAGGCCAATATGCATTATGCATACGCGAACAGGTACAATATAGAAAAGGGTACATTGTGTTGGCGCAATGCTTATACATCGGCTTCTTGGACTTAAAACAGTTAGTCTGCACTCTATCTTGTCTCCCGTCTTCCTTCTTGCGCAGAAAGTTTAGGCTTAACTTTTAACAGCTGATGCAGACTGGAGTAAAGGTATATGGGGCGGACTTTGCAGCACTCCATTCGATGATTACCGGGGGCGGCACCCTCCCCCACCCCCTTCCTGCCCTGACCCCCTCGTGTGAACGCCTCGATATCCAGGACTTCCACGTTCCAGGCTCAGCTCGCTGTCAGCGCATGTAACTACCCGATGCGTCCACTATACATTATCTCGAGAAGGTGAATTGCAAACTGAGTACACGCGGAGGGTAGGGTTAATTAAATCCGTAGATTCAAGCGATAAGCAAGAACACCGTAGCCACCCTCCGGGCGTACCGTAAGAGAGGCGGTCGCGTCAAACGCCTATCTCTCGTATGCGAGAGGAAGAGCAATGCACGATGCATCACCACCTTGGCAGACCCGGGTTGCATGCGAAGTACGCGTTAGCATAATGGGCGTCTTAATGAAGAAAGTGAGATGGGCGCACATACCATTAAGCGGGTCAACCGGGAAATCCGCCTGTTCACAGTGCTGCTTTCACCCCCTTCCCCCCCCCCCAAAAAAAAAAACAATGCAGCGCCATTAAACACATGCAATGGAAGAGGACGGAATATGGTGCCATGCTACGTGCTCTTCTGCAAAGGGCATAGACTTCCCGCATATTCGGTAGTAAGGGTTTTTTTAGTATAATCGAGAGATGAGATAGGTGCTACGTATAGTCACTGTGCAAAAAAAATTGCCCGCAGCTTCCCTCGGGGGAACACTGAGGAGGATGCGGACCATATAATTGGTTAACGGGGTGTTAAAGTGCGACTTACTTGGGTCGATGGCTAAATTGGTTAACGTGGTTGTGAAATGGGGTGTTAAATTGCGACTTACTTGGGTCGATGGCTAAATTGGTTAACGTGGTTGTAGGAGGGGGTGTTAAATGAGTGAACACGTACACACGTATGCGAAAGGGCGGCGCTGGTCGAAGGGACGTCGATCATTGTGTTTGTGGATTCGTTGGAATTCATTTCACCGCGACCTTGGACTTCGACGCGCCGTACAAACCAACCGACGAGCGGCAACTGAGCGAGCGAGCGCCGACCTTGAGTATATATACAGCACGACGGCGCATGCACTGTCAGCTGTTGAATGTTCTCGAAGCGCGACGCCACATGCGCGTCCACTGGAGAATCAGGAGAATTGTAGATGTCGAACGCGGTGTGTAGAGGAGGAAGGGTGCACAGATGGTGGAGGAGTGAAGCGCGCGCGGTGTGTAGAGGAGGAAGGGATGCACAGATGGTGGAAGAGTGGGCGACGGCGCGACGGCGCATGCGCGCGCGTCAGCTGTCGAATGTTCGAGAAGCGGTGCGGACGGCGCACTACAAGGCGCGAGTATAAGATGCTTCCGCATCTAAAACGGACTCAAATGGGAAGTCAGGACACCACAAACACCTTCAGGACGCCACAAACAAAAGGCGCCTGTGGTGGCCTGAATTTTATACGCCTTGTCTCTTTCGAATGAGTAAGGGGGTATAAAGCTATAAATTAGCTCGGCGCTGAGTGACACACGGAAAATAAATCTCTCGTAATGTTCAGATCAAAATATAGCAATTTGTGCAAGCTCCGTGCAAGTATTATTACACTACGTGTTTAGAACAAAATGGAGCTGCTAAGATTAGCGGCCAAGAAGGGCGAAGGGTAACCCCCATCCTCTTTCATACTATTTACCTCTCTCCTGTCAGCAAAAAAAAAGCACAAATATTTGTATTAAATGTAGGAGCCCAATTGCGCGATTGCAAGCTCATTTCGCACATTTGCCCCTGCTATATATTGGGAAAAATATCGAAATCGCCGTGATAAGTATGGGCCACCAGCCCCGCCGCGGTGGTCTAGTGGCTAAGGTACTCTGCTGCTGACCCGCAGGTCGCGGGTTCGATTCGCGGTTGCGGCGGCTGCATTTCCGATGGAGGCGGAAACGTAGGCCCGTGTACTCAGATTTGGGTGCACGTTAAAGAAACCCAGGTGGTCAAATTTCCGGAGCCCTCCACTACGGCGTCTCTCATAAACATATAGTGGTTTTGGGACGTTAAACCCCACATATCAATCAATCAAAGTATGGGCCACCATGTTGAAAAAGCATGTCATCCATTTACCTTGTTCTTTCTTTCCTTTTTGTTAATGACATTGTAAACATTGACTCGCGCTGTGTTATCTAGGACGATAATACTTCGCCATTTGCATACAGCCGTTATGCTGAATTGTTGACGGCTAATACAGCTTTGAACAAACCGCACATCTGGCCGCTTGGCAACAGGAAAAACAAAAGCGGTGTTACTTTGCACTAAAGATACGCAAAACACTTTCGAAGAAAATCCAGTACCGACTGATGCTAAAACTGAACTTGTAAATTCTGCAAAAATTTTTAGGAGTGACATTCGATCAGTATATGCCCTTGCAGACGAGTATCTTGCAGAATTTTCCTTGCAAGAATCTTGCAGGCAATATTTCGCAAATCGCCCCGCCGCGCTGGTTTAGTGGCTAAGGTACTCTGCTGCTGACCAGCAGGACGCGGGTTCAAATCCCGGCTGCATTTCCGATGGAGGCGGAAATGTCGAGGCCCGTGTGCTCAGATTTGGGTGCACGTTAAAGAACCCCAGGTGGTCAAAATTTCCGGAGCCCTCCACTACGGCGTCTCTCATAATCATATGGTGGTTTTGGGACGTTAAACCCCACAAATCAATATTTCGCAAATCACTGCAATCATTATTTACAACACAGCTCACTTTCCTTGAGCCCTTCTAACTATTGTTGTCTAGCCTTGGGTGCGACTTCGGAAACCAATGATAACATGCTGTACATTCAGCGAAAAAAAAAAAAAAAGCTCTTCGAGGTATATATGTAATAATTCACGCGATTTCCTTTCAGCACCTTTATTTCCAGAATTTACGACAACGAAAGTAATGACACTGTCTAAGCATCGCTGAACACTTTTGTACGAAAATGAGCAGAAAATACACATTAATCACATTGCTAGTATGCCTAACTTAACACAATCGAAGCTACTTATCATTAGTAGATAACCAGAATATTGGTATGTACCATAACGTCACAGTAACTACGGATTAAAAATGTTGCGCTCAAGATTACCTCATGCACTAAATGACCTGATTGTGAACAACGTCGGTATTCTATCTTGTTTTCTCGCTGTTGTTGTTTTAGTTTTGTCTTACATGTAAGATTATTATGTTGAGGCTATGCGGTACGGTTACATGTTTTTTCCTGTTTTTTTTCCCTGCTTGTCTTGCTACATAAAAGCATAATATTTAACCAGCTAGAAAAACGATTTTCCCATTGCTGCTCACTCTGTACATTTTTTACATGCTTTTTGAATTCATCTGTGTTGGTTCTGCAGGAATAAAAAACATACATACATGCATGCATGCACACAAAGAAACATATATACATACATACATGCACAGATACATACATACATACATACTTCATACATGCATGCATGCATACATACAAACATATATACATACATATGCCTGAAAGGCCAGAGCGCCTAAAAACTGCATCGCATTCTCGAGAATTATCAAACAAACTCCTTTTTTGGTAAGCTCAGCGCTCTAAACTTGCAGCACTGAATTAACAAGCTTTGGATAAAAATGCTGATCTCTGTGTAGCAAATTGATACACGCTCACGCGTTTAATTTCGATTAATTTATTAAGTATGCGCTTCTCGGCTGTCACTATTATCGGGTTATTAAGCTCACCACAGCCGTGAACGTTGCACCGTTGCATTAGCGCGAGCTGACGGAGCATCCCCCAGCCATGCCCCCAATAGCCGCGTGCTTAAGAAGGCGCAATAGTGATGGGCGCGCAAAATAATGGAGGCCGTGCGTCAGTCCCAGTCTGGCCATCAGGCATACCCACCTGCACCAGTGGAAAGCCGCACGGCTACCATGACAACACCGCGTGGCCCTACGAAGTGTTCCTTTTGAACAGGTCAGTGACGATTGACTATTCCGATGTTATTATTTAAAGCAGCGCAAACTACAGGACAGGCAGTAGACGCAACGTTGGCTGTCACCGTCATCATTGTCTGGCTGTCACCACCAAAAGCCAGCGTCTGGATACAGCCCGGGTAGTTGTCACAATAAAAGGTTTACACTTTTGGACAGCTTCTCGTTTCGTGTTAAATCCACAAGCCCAGCAGATTACCCGCGCACTTCGCATTCGTGCGCATCGGTCGTAATCCAATGCAGCCTGGAAACAGCATACCACGTGGAAATAGCACAAACTTTATCTCGTAGCACATCTCGATAACTTTCACAATGTTCTAAAGGTGGACGCCGCGTTGGCGCACACAAAACTGACAGATGCAACAGAACAGTGACTCGAATGCCACCGGTCCTCACCGACATGACGTAACACGCAGCAAAAGCTTAGCATGCGACAACGTGAAATTGATAACTCAGAAGGAAAGCTTACTCGTGCAACATGACGGGTGCAGTTTGCCAAGATAACGAGGCGGCGGCATGCTTTCGGAAATACTTTCATTTTCAAACTCTTGTGGCACTCGCGCACATTGAAACCATGTCGCAACTGCCGCAACTCGACGAACGACTAGCGGCGCATAGCGAACAAAATGTAAAGCTCATTTATACCTACACTTCTATTCGTTTCGTATAAAAAAATGTTGTTTCCAGCAATCTATACGTACAACACAATTTATAAACTAAAGACTACGTGAATATTACAACAAATACTTTTTGAATTGGGTTGCGATAAGTGTTTGTGGTGTCAATACCCTTAAGATACGAAACTGACTCAATTAAAACGTAAACAAGGAAAAGTAAACCGTTCGGGACGCTGCGGGAAGACTTATGAGGCGTTATACCGACCTGCTGGTGAGTACGCGGTTATTTGTTGCTTTCAACGTGTCTTCTAACTGCAACTTAGTCCCGCGTAACCCTTCTAGAAGTGTCGGCGTGCAACGGCCGCTCCTCTTGTTCGCTTTGTGTGCGAGCGAGCGACATCCCCGAATCCTATCGTGGTTGGGGGGGACGCATTGCCAGCCGGATTGCCAACTTGACGAGCAAAAAAACTCGCCCCCGTTGTGACTTTGAGACCGTTTAACAAAGCCACGTGCCGGGTTTTTTTCGAGGTGACACGCAGGAGGACGCGATTTCTACCAACAGCGGCGCGTCGAAGTCGCTCGATCCCTCCCTGCCACTAATCATGGAGGAGAAATGCTTGCGCTTGGCACCAACGGGAAAGTGGGAAGAAGACATGTTTTTAGCGCTCGTTCGAAGCCAGGTTTGTGCCCTACGTCGACCGCGTGAGACGCGTGGTGTTGTGTTTCGTAGTTTAATCGCGATTGTGTCGAGGATTCCGTCCGTTTTCGACCGCGGTTCGCAGTTTTTCGAAACCTGACCTAAATCCCGTCACGCTGGACGCCGCCTTCTCCTCGCTCCTTAGGACGTGGAACGTCTATTGTTGTCCCAGGCCGGTTCTGTGGGACTGTCGCGGAAGGGAGAGGGCGGGGTTGTTGCTTTCAAAGCCGCCCTTTCCTTCTTTCTTTCTTTCGCCACCTCCTTTTCCCTGCATTTGTGCGCGTGTGCTCTGCGCAGCGTCTCGCGTAAGATTTTCGTTCTGCTTTCTTTATCGGAGCCTTTGTGGCGATTAAACGGAATTCGCCTTTGTTCGCCTTAGCGGTACATGTGGCTGCGACAGGTGCGCCAGGCTTCCTTCGTCTCCCTATCGCATGGGAAACTCCCTCTATCTCGGCGTGGCCTCGCGGGTGTTGATAAGTGAGCTGCGTGGCTTTGGGGGGGAGGTCGTGCTCTGCTGATGAAGCGATAAGCAAGTCTGCCATGTGGAAGTGAATGTCGTTAGTGTTTCGAATTTAGTTCAACCGCGAAGACTTTCTTTGATCGTGGGCATCCACGGTCAAGTGTGGCATCTGTTCGGACGTACCCGTTTCTTCGATCTGAAAAGGTCGGTATATCGTTCTTGTTTGTCGTCTTGTCAGCGTTCGAATATGAGGGGAAAAAAAAAAAAAAGAAATTCGCACATGTCTTGTAAGCCTTGCATATTGCGTATACTTGCGTTCCCGTGTACATGCTCAGTGCATTTTTAATTTTTTTTCCCCCTTGACGAGCGTACCGTTTCAGCGTAGCGAAATTCTCTGTGCAACTTCGACTTTGGCGCGATTGCTTATGGCTAGCTAGCCGCGATGAATGTAAATTTGTGATATTTTGATTCTTTTTGGTGTTCACACACATTTCGGGCAGGATTTATATTGCGGCGTATGCATGTTTGATTTGTGCATTGCGAGAACTTAAACTGTTGCTGTCTTAACAGGCCGGCCCTTGCTGATGGTGTTTCCCGGGTGTCTAATTCAGCAAATGCAAGCACAGTTGTAAGTACCCCTCCAACCCCCACCCCTCCTCAAGCCGAACGGATGTGTAGCAGTAGTGCATAAGAGTATTTTTATTGCTTGTTTTGTTTGTTTTCTTAGTGCCGGTTGCCTTTCATGGACACTCTATAAGACTGCCATTGTCTAGCCAGCAGAATCATTGCTGTGTAATTGCTGTAGTAAGGGATCACTAATTTTATGCCAAATGTATAGTTATTAAGGATGGACATGTTGCAGTTATTAATATTTTTCTGAATTTCGTAGATTTCATGCTCGTGTTGTTACACCCAGTCCATGTGTTACACCCAGTATTGGCGATGGCCACTTTGTCACGCCTGTATATGTAGCAGGCCCATGGTTTGTTCACTTCGTTAGGGATTACCTAACAAAAGTAAGAGTGAGCAGTATGCAACAAAATTAAAGCCGTGGGACATGTCAGCCTGACACATTATCATGTTGCAGTGAGTTGTGGGTGTTTTTTTTTTTTTTTGCAGTGCTAGCTTAGTTTACTGTGCACCCTTCAGAAACACAACGTGTGGGACATCGACATCCGGCTACTGCACGTGCACGTTGTACACGTATTAATTGCAATATAAACAGACGACATCGGGTGAACGTGTCAGTAGCTTGCTCGAATCAAGCACGCGGAGTCTACTTCGCCGTGGAAAAAACAACAACAGCGTTTTTCGTGTGCAGAAATTCTGGAAAAATACAAATGAAATATATAAGAAAAATTGCTGGTTTGAGCGAAAATCAGATCCAGGCCCGCTGGGTGGCAAGCAGGTGTTCTATGACAGAGCCACAGCATCGATTAAACCGCTTTGGGGAAAAACAAAGAACAATATTGGGAGGAGTTTCCTTAACTCGTGTAATATTTTGTGGCAGAATCGTCGAATCGCGCCCGGTGTCAAAACCTGTCAATCGCAGAACGAGCAATTTTTTTAAAAGCCCACCCATTACAAAGCGCTCAGACATATTTAGTCACCATCATCAGCAAAAGCATCAACAAAATGAGTTACTGCAATGGTTTGCATGTCCCCTTACGGACTTGTAGAGGGCGCTTTGCTGATTTGCATAAGAAGGAACTATGATGTCGTGAGCACTCTACAACTGTACTTGCACCAGGCATTCTAGGATAGTGTGAAACGGCCAATGTTACCACATCGCTTGCTTGTTTCCTTTTGCATGGTTGAGGTATGCACCAAGAATTGATGGTAGGCTTTCAATTTGCACAGGGCCGGATTACGCTAAGGTGTTCTATTCTTGTAGGCGAAGCTCAAGTGTCTTCTAGGGCTTCGGAATGTTGTGGTGGAGGCACCTTTCGGCAGCAGGCATTACATTGTCTGATGAGATGAAGGAAAAGAAGAGAAAAAACCTGAAGACAAAAACAAACATTTGTAAACACACTTGTTTCCTCCTGGAAATCGTTTTTAGAAAATTTGCCGTTGTCTTTTGACGTTTTCAGTGGCTAGTGATACTGTTAGTGTGTGACAAGTGCCCGTTGTTTTTGCTGTCTTATCTTTTCACATGCCTCAGAGCTCTTAGTCATTATCAACTGTAAACACTGTATGAAGTGTCTGTACAGTTGGGTGACATTGGCTGAATATAAGGACAAGTCTTTCTGTCTACAGCGATCCTTAAACCCTAAAATGTGTGGGGTTGTTTGATAAGATGGAGTTCAGCGAGGAAGAGTCTGATCTTGTGTGAGCAGAGCACGTCCTGTTTCTTGTCTGGGCATGTTTGACCTTTTAGTGTGATATAGACGTGATAGCAATAGTGTGACTGCGTGACTTCCCAATAATTTCACATTTTGATGCATGTTTTGTTCTGGCTGCTTTTATTTAGTTGCTACTCATTAAACGAAGTGATACTTCTTAGCCAGTTATGATGGGCATTTACTGTCTGACTAGGCTTCTGGGTATGGAAATGGCTGTAGAAAAATGATATATCTCGTTTATTGGCTTTTGAGTTACAAATGAATGTATTCACAGAAAGCTACAGTGGGAAACTTGCTCCTTATTAAAAATATAGTGTGTATGAAATTCGACACAGTTGGCAAAGTGTGACGTCAAATTTCGAACAAATCATGGAACTGAACCTATTCTGTCTTGCCAGACACTTTTTGCAGCGCAGCCTCTGGTTTGTTGCAACGGGAAACAGCCAACATTATTTTTGCTTACTTCAGCATTAGGTTCTTTTGGTAGAATGTTTGCTTTGCTTTTTGAACAGGTGATGGTAAACTAGATGGTCGTGCTTTATTATTTTTTTTCCAGACAGCATCGGGAGCTATGATGGTGTCGTAAAATACACACTCCCAGCCTTAGCGAGCGATTCGGCAGATAGGCGCTTTTGGAGATTCCATGCATCCACAGCACAGATAAAATCCCTATTATTGTTGTCCATGCTCTAGTTAAGGGGCCTTGAACAATTGTCTTCTTGTCACTAACAGTAACACATTCAAAGGTATGCCTCACAAACACTCCTAAAGTTAGGAAAACAGTATGAACACCAGAGCGAAAGTGAAGTGAGGAACATGAAACAGCGGCTTGGGTTTTACAGCAGACACAACTGCCTATCTGCATAAATTAAAAGTTAATGATTTTACTTTTATTTATTCATGGCCATAAATTCTTCTTTGATAACCAGCAACAACTTGTCTTGGCAGTACTGTGTAACCTAGCCAGTTTCATCCCACACATTTAAGTTCCAGCTTTTTTATATTCGTTTAGTATATGCAACCCACACAGTATGGTACAAGTATTGTACATTCAAGTAACACCTATTGCATCATATTTGATGCAACTAAATTTACTTGCTGCTGTAACTGAAGCTACTGCAAATCGCAAAAAATTGTGCCTCATTATCAGAAATTGAGCAAGGAAAAAAAAAAGCCGTTTATTACCACATTAGAGCTGTAAAGGCAGCTCTGCCGCTATACAGAAGCGTAACACGGTGAAAGGTAAAAAGGGGCCACTTTAATGTCCAGTGCATTTCCACCCTGTGTTTTCTTTAGTCAACAATGAAAGGGATAGTGCCATCAAATCCAGTGCATTTCCACCCTGTGTTTTCTTTAGTCAACAATGAAAGGGATAGTGCCATCAAATTTCGAGGCTAGAACAAGCCTCTTGTGGGTTTTGCTCTGTATGCTAGGACCCTCCACGTGAGCGGTCGGACACAGCAAACATTTCGAACATATTTTAATTCACCTCCAAATTGTACCTAAATGCTCATTATCCCAACCGAAGCCCATCGCAAGCGCGTCCAGAACTGTCACAGCTTTGCTGAAAGGGCAACGAAAGTTGCAGTGACGTCACAGCAGATCTGTAGTGTAGTGAGAGTAGGCATGCGCAGGTTTCCTCCTCAAGAGGAACAAAGGTTCATCGCAGCGCACCTCTTTCCTGTTATGTAAATGTCTGAGTCCGACTTCGCTCCTCCCCCCTCTCAAGTCGCAGCACCCCCTCCCTATTATGTTGTAGCTCCGCGGCTGATGCGCAAAAGAAAATGAGAGCCGTTTGGCTCATGAGGCGTGAGCCACGTGGTGATCAGAACGCTCTGGCTCTGGGCCCCGCTGAACGCGTCAGCCGCAGCTGGTTTGGTCTTCTTCGCCTGCGTCCCAATAAAAAGCTGCGACCACGACATGGCCTCATCCGCCACCGTCTCGTCTAGTTCCACTACAATTGGTGACCACGGACACATGGACAAGTGATCGGCGCTGCACAACTGCCCCCGAGCTCTGCGGCCATGTTCCAGCCAGTGCAAGCCTGGCAGCCGCAATTCGACCCGCCACTGCCACCATTTCGGACCTATCGCCTAGAGTCTTAGTTCAAGGAGTTTGCGGCAACCTTGGATAGCAACGGCATCTGGATCCAAGAGTTCATGTACGAGGTATTAGAATACCATTTTCCACATGACCTCAAACACTGCCTCACATACTTCACCTGGAGCCCTCGCTCGTACATTGATTTGCGGGATACCGTGCTCAAGTTTTACGGCCTCAAACGTGCTCCTCCTCCCACAAGCGACACAAGGATATCTGGCTCGTTACCTTTCAGGACGCCTCCAGCACCACAGGCAGTCCAAATCGTTCCTCTGCCAACAACTGGCCACACCGGTAACGGAGAGCAACCTTCCATGCCAATCGACCTGTCATTCGAGAGACCCACGACCCTGGAGTTCACAGATCCTGCTTCCGATGGGCCGGTTCTGCCAACAAAGGCATTGCCGCTTCGCTCCATTGCAGATTCGACACTGGCCGCTGCTCCTTGTGCCGTCAGATTTGCCGTAGAGACCTGGTCGGCTGCACTGTCTGCCCCAGGCGATTCGACAATCTCGGTTAAGCCAGCCGACCTGCCTGCAGACTTCACGCCTCTCCCAACACCTCTAGAAGCCCACGACACCACTCACACTGTGGGCCCAGAGCTCGTTGTAGTGCTGCACACCATCAATCTACCCAGCACACCGATGCCTGCTGCTCAAACCCTTGTTGACTGCCAGTCCAATCACGACGTCACCGGCGTCTCAAGTGGCAGTCAGGGTTTTTAGACGTGCCTGCGAAAATTTCCTACAATATTTCTGAAGAGACACGCCGCACACCCTCCTGCCAGCCCACAAGCATTATATACCATCCGCTCCCTTGGACAGCTATTCACCTATGCACCCGTTGTGTTGTCCGTTGTCCCCATTTGATGGTGGGCTGCAGCAGTTCTATGCACAACGCACGACTCGCGATTCGCGGAGGATGCGCATCGCCTTGTCGAAAGATGCACTGTTGTTGGCGCTGAAGAAGCCGTAGCGGACAATGATTGGCGTTGTGTGGATCACGGCGTTCGCACCACTTGCACCGACGCCAATTACAACGGGCCTCACTGTTTTGCTCACTGCTGCAAGCGAACGCGCAAACATCGGGGGTCCTCGCCCGCTGCATGGTTCTCAGTGCCGCCCGCTGGAGCTATCAGATTCCTTTGTACGCCTTCTACCCTGACGACATTCGGACTTCCAAGTGG